TTGGCAGTGTTGGGTTTATGGTTGGACTTGCCACTGGCTGTGGGGCAGTGAAAGCGATTGCTGGGCCGGAGGAAAAGATGAAGCAAAGCCTCTGCCAGCCCTGGCCTGGGAGCTGCACGGTCCATGGGAGCACACAGCTCCTGTGCCCCTGCCTGGGCCACCCTCACTGATCTCCATTCCTTCCACTTTGTCACAGGTCCCAGTGAGGTTTCTCTCCACAGACCTGGACTGAAATCAGGTAAGAGCCACCAGTCCCAGCTCCCTGGGCTGCACTCCACAGCCTGACCTGTAGCCTCCTTCTCACCAGTGACCTGGCTGCAGATACAAGAGATGTTTGTGCCCCATCTTCTTCATAACCTGGGGACCCTGCACCCCTTTCCCCCTGCAAGCTCAACGAGAGCTGCAGCTCCTCTCCTGGCTCCATCCCTCAGGGATTCTGGCACTATCAGGGAGCAGAGTGGCCAGGACACCATGGTGGTTGCCCCTGGGGAAGCTTGGGGATGGTTGCTGGGAGACACGAGTGACTCAAGCCTTGCTGTCCTCAGGGAGCTGCCCTGGAGACACGTTCACTTGCCGCAACACCCAGTGCGTGTGGAAGCAAAACCCCGAATGCGACGGCCAAAAAGACTGTGCCGATGCCTCTGATGAAAGGAGCTGTGGTGAGTCTCTTGCAGCAGGTCTCCTGGACATGGGGGACAGGCCACAACCCACTGCTGCAGACCTTGGCAGTTGTAACACCATTGGGCTTCTGGCCACTGAAGAGAGCCAAGGACACAGCACAACTTGTCAGGCCAGTAGCGGATACCTGGAATTGTTCCCTAGAAACACCTTGGTCTCACCACCAACTGCAAAGGGTCATGACAAGCCCCACCTTCGTGGTGGGCTGGCATGTTGGCCAAGGACCACATTCCCATGAGCTGCTGGGAGCAGATCACGAGGCAGTAGCTGAGCTTGTGAAACCAGCCAAGATATTCCTCTCCAGGATTTCTTGCTTTAGTAGAGTTGCAGGGAGGATGCTGTGATGAGCCAGTGCTCTTTTCCAAGCCTGCAGCTCCAAGTCCACCCTGTGACATCCCTGGCAATGTCCTGCTGCTCCCAGGACATGCTGGGAACCTGTGCGAAGCTGAAGCAGCTTTTCCCACTTGTCCCCGAGAGCACTTTGCTGGGGTGCAGCTGCAGGATCCCCACGTGCTGGTTTCTCTCCTCCCTTTCAGACTGCGGGAGCCGCCCGGCCATGCAGACTGCCAGCAGGATAGTCGGGGGCTCAGAGGCGTCCAGAGGGGAGTTCCCATGGCAGGTCAGCCTGCGAGAGAACAACGAGCACTACTGTGGAGCTGCAATCCTCACCGAGAAGTGGCTGGTGTCTGCTGCTCACTGCTTCACCGAGTAAGCTCTTGCCCCGCTAGCTTGTCCCCAACCTGGCTCTCTGTTTCCAAAAACTGCTGTATCTTCTGGCTCAAGCTCCCGCTGCCCACTCTGCCCTGTCACACCTGCTCCCCTTCCCCAGCCAGAGCTCTGGAGCTGTTCAAAGCCCTTTCCTGTGCAACCTGGTGTAGGAAACCTGCTTTGGCAGAGGGGTTGGACTGGATGATCTCCTGAGGTCCCTTCCAACCCCACCAATCTGGGATTCTGTGATTAAGCCACGGGGAGCTCCTGTCCTCGAGTGGGTGATGGGATGGGTAGGAGGCAGCACCACCCTCTCCAGGTGGCTCTGGTTTGTGGGATGGTCCTGTGGCTGCAGGCTCACACCATCCTGGTTGTCTCTCTTTCAGGTTTCAGGACCCAGCCATGTGGGCAGCTTACACAGGGACCACCTCCCTCAGGGGCTCCGATAGCGGCGCAGTGAAAATGGACATCGCACGGATCATCCCGCACCCCTCCTACAATACTGACACAGCTGACTACGACGTGGCCGTGCTGGAGCTGAAGAGACCTGTGACCTTCACCAAGTACATCCAGCCTGTCTGCCTGCCAGATGCTGGGCATCACTTTCCCACCAGCAAGAAGTGCCTCATCTCCGGCTGGGGCTACCTCAGGGATGATTTCTGTAAGCAAAGCATGGGAGGTGGCCGAGGATGCACCAGGGAAGGGATCTCCAGCCGTGCTCTGCCCAGCAGGGATGGGCAGCTGGTCCCGTGCAGGGCTCCCTGTGGTGAGCTCATGGTCGCGTCTTTCTCGTTTAGTGGTGAAACCCGAGTTCCTGCAGGGGGCTCCGGGCCCAGACCCTGGGCTCCAGCCTCTACAGCCATGCCCTCACAGACAGGATGATGTGTGCTGGCTACCTGGAGGGGAAAATCGACTCCTGCCAGGTAAGCCTTCCCCAGGGAAGCCAACACACAAGTCTTTTCCCTCCCAGTATGCACCAAGCAGTTCTTCAAGAAGCTGGATCTGACACCATGGAATCATAGAATCATAGAATGTTGTGAGCTGGAAGGGACCCACAAGGATCATCGAGTCCAACTCCTGTCCCTGCACAGGACAATCCCAACATTCACACCATGTCCCTGAGGACCTTGGCCAAATGCTGCTGGAATCTTGTCAGCCTTGGTGCCATGAGCACCTCCCTGGGGAGCCTGTTCCAGTGCTCCACCACCCTCTGCCTCAAGAACCTTTTCCTCATGGCCAACCTCACCCTCCCCTGCCACATCTTCCTGCCATCTCCTCTGCTCCTGGCATTCGTTGGTGGCCAGAGAGAAGAGATCAGCGCCTGCCCCTCCTCTTCCCCTTGGGAGGAAGTTCTAGACCCCCATGAGATCTCCTCTCAGTCTCCTCTTCTCCAGGCTGAACAAAC